TGGGCTTTTGGGAAAGTTGATATAAGAGAAACAAACGTTTAGTGCTCTTGATATTGCTGAGAATGAACTACAAGGACTTTCAGTTCACTTAGCATTTGTCTCTCAGCTCACAGGGCAAGATTTACTAATGAAAGCTAATGTCACATTTTATTTTAATATGGGAAGTTCCAGTAACATCAGCAGCTTTGCCCAAAACTGATGTATTCCTATGGTGTATACAACTCTTTCTTCTGTAGTTAGATATTCTTCTTTCAGCCATCCCATATTCATCATGGAAAAACACATCTTCTCAAAAGAAATATGCCCTAGTAGCTTGCCTGGAATACATCTGAAGGATTAGTGCATGTGGCATGAAAAGTGGCCCATGTGCCCAGGACGTACTGGTGAATATTCATGCAAGTGCCTGGAAGGCTTTTGCTTTTTTTCTGAAAAGGCAGCTCTTGCAGAACAAAATCTAAACTGGGCATGTGTTTCTTTTCTCTCTTTGTTGTTTAAAAAAAACAAGCGTGGAGGCAAAGCCCAAACTCTTACTTTGCATCTTTCGCAAATCTCGAAAGAGGAAGGTCTATTATCATTCATATTCAATCTCTTTGGGAGTGACTCTTCATTCTTAAATTAATACACTATTTGTTTATAACTCAGAGCCATGACCTCTTTCAAGCAGTTAGGACTAAGTGCTGTTGAGACAAGAGCAACTCATGTCACAAAAAAGGGGATATATACATTTAGCCTTTTGCTCTGGTTCCACACCACTTGTGTTTTGATTAGAGCATTTAGTGGTTAGAATAATGATAATTACCAATGTGTTATTGGAAATGTATGAATTTTACACTCTGAATCATAACTTTGAAGACCCGGCACAAGGAAACTTCACTAAGCCCCCAATAATGAAAGGATTCCATGGAAAAACATAATTACCTACTTTTCTGCAGTCTTTTTAAAATAAAACAATATACTCGTGTTTTTGCCTTTTCACTGTTTATAATCCTTTAGGTGATTTAACCTATGATTAGAAATTGTTAAACAGATTCAGTATTTGTTATTGACGAATACTTACCACATCACGGATTCTATTCTGACAGTGTCAGACTTTTAACAAGGAAGTCCGCTATAGTCAATCTAGCCCTGAGCAGGCAAACGACCTTAATAGCTGTAAAATGGCAGAGTGGGTGAGGATCTGAGGAAGGAGAATTTTTGATAGCTGAATCCTTCTTCTGACCAAGTCCTGAGAGGATGCCTCTGGGAATTTGACAGAATCAGCTCTGAATTTTTAATTTGCAGATAGATTGCACTAATGAGAGCTAAAAGGCTTCCTTTGGAAGCTTTTTTATTTTAGCTTCTTAAAGTATTATTTATTAATAATATTAACTGCCTGATATTGAGTTGAGAGATCCTGAAGAGTCTCTTTAAAATCCATTTGTCTAGCCTACATTTTCTGAAGTAGGAAATATAATGCTAACCTAAAGTTTTACCTGGTTCTGATTTGCATAAGATCATGGAAGCATGAGGCCTTAGCGCTGTTCTTGTGGCATTGATTGGACCCATGGATTGGACCCATGTATTCCTACTAAATGAATTCCTAAAGCAATGCAGGTTCATCTATGGACAGCATTTTCCCATAAGGAAAAGGGCTCCATGTTCAGTCCCCAGCTAAGTCTTTTCACCTCCCTACCAGCAGCCAACTTAAAAGAGTGGAATAATTTTGAACATTAATATTTGTCACAGCAGAGATAGCAGCTGAAAGCAAGAAAGATTGCCTCACTGCGGAGAAGTAAAATTATATGAGACTTAAGCATTCTGGTAAGAGACTCTTAAAGACAAACAAGCTTGGTATTTTGCTGCTGGAAAAGTGTGTAAATGTGAGCAAGTTTCTTTTTCTTTTTCCTGTAAGATTCTAACTGGCTCAACTTGGATATTTCTTGACATTTTCATGATAGGCAACAGTCCTTACCTCCAGGGGCTTGAAAAGGGTTTGTTTTTTATAGTTGAGGAAAGAACCCTGACTAGCCTCTTTTGTTGACAGTACTAATTAGATTCCGCAGTTCTCTTTTTTACTTTATTCATAGCTCTACTTCTAGTGATTTAGATGGTCACAGTAGTTCTAGTTATTTTGATTGGTTAGTTGTGCTCTGATTATTGTGGTAGGAACAGGTCCCATTGGATTCCATTGCAGACAGCAGGTGCACTCAAAATATAGCAAGTGTTCATTACAGTTAAAGCTTGTCTGCTTTTACACCAATGCAGGTGTGACACTGTAGCACTTAGTGAAGACACTACCTGTGCCAAAAGGAGAGCGTCTCTCTTTGGCATAGGTACTTCACCTCCCAGAGAGGCAATAGCTGTGTTGACAGGAGAAGCGGTCAACATAGTCTTGTCTATACCTGGGATTATAACTGTATTGCTCAGAGGTGTAGGTTTTCTACGTAGTTATACTGACGAAATACTACAGAATCTGTAGGTCAAATTATCACAAAGGCTGAAATATTCTCACTAGTGCATTGCAAAAACACAGTCATGTTGCATAAACAATATGGAGCAGGCATTTTCTATACATTTTAAAGGGTAGCCACTTAAGTGAATAAGCAAAGGACTTCAATCTTTGTGACTCTTAATCTGATAGAGACTTAATCCCTTAAGGAAAAGAACAGAAGATTTTTAAAAATCCCATATTCAGCACAACATAGTTTTCCATAACATGCATAATGCAGACTTTCCAATTAGAATGTTACAATTTAAAAACTTGGTTCACAGACTGATGAGAGAGCAATTATTTTGAAGAAGGGGAAGTGCAGTCTGTTGAGTTTGCCTACAGTCACTCCTAATTCAAATAGCAAAGATAAGAATTTTTAAAATTTACTTACTGTTGAGCTTTGTATACAAACAACAGCAAAAAAAGCAATTAATTTTAAACTGAATCCCTGCTAATCAATGGTAAGCAGACAGCCAAGGCATTTATGTAAGATATAAGCAAAATCACATCTACTAATCAGTTTTTTAAAATGCTTCATAACTTCTTAAGAAAAAATATGTCATGAGATTGTCACCCGCCCCCACCAGGTATGGGCCTGGTCTATACTTAAAATGTAGGTTGACGTAGTTACAGTACTTGGGATGTGAAAAAGCAGCAATAGCTATGCTGATATAATCCCTGGGGCCGACACTGGTAGGTCAGAGAAAGAATGCTTTCATCAACCTCACTACCTTTGTTTAGAGAGGTGGTGTTCCTGCAGCAATGGAAAAAACCCTTTTCATCACTGTAGCCTGAATCTACAGTACAGGGTTACACTGATATTGCCACACAGTGCCATAGCTATAGTACTTCTAGTCCCTGTACCATGGACACAGCCTCAGAGCTGGGAAGGTTTTGTCTGGACTATCATTCTGCTTGCCATGCATCCATGGGGAAAGTCAATAGACCTTTCTTCCTGTCTGAGGATGCCATTCTGCAGTGGGGTGGAGGACTTTTGCTCCACCACTTCCCACCCTTTGCATTATAATAGGACTGGGCTTGTGGACCTTGTTTGTGGGTATCATCTACTTGCCTTTTTAGTACTGGGCAAGAATTGCTTCTGCTTCCAGACTGGGTTGAAATGGGTGTATGGTTTCATCTTCCTGTCAGCATCCCAGAACTTAGTGGATAGGATAGATTGTGAAATTAATTTATTTCATAGGTGCCCAGTGCAGGTAAACATTGGGTATGGGGTTCAGTTAGCTAATAACCCAGAACTCAAAAGAGAGGTAGTAAGCCACATCTCATAAAGAAGGTGGAAAATGGGGATGGAGCTTCTAATGTTTGGTACAGTGAAGACCCTCTCTTTCTCACCCCTTTAAAAAAGGGCAATGGAGTCTCAGAAATGGTGCTGAGACCTGGTTAACCAAAGCTGACAAAAGTCCTACAGCAGATAGAACAGAGGAGTAAGGGTTGAAGGCCTTCCTCCAGGTGCCACAGATTACAAAGGAGGGATGTCCTGCCCTGGATAAGCTATTGCCGGATACTTCCAGATGTGTCTCCCTTGATAAATTTGGATCTTAGTTAAATGATATTCCTGGTGTTTTCTTTTCCTGCACTGTCCAGGACACTGAGGGTGTATCTAGACTACATCCCTCTTTCGACAGAGGGATGTAAATTAGGCACTTCAGAATTGCAAATGAAGCCGGGATTTGAAATTTCTGTGCTTCATTTGCATAATAGCATTATGGTGCTCTTTCAAAAGGGCACTTTTCGAAAGAGCACCATGATGTGGTTATGCAAATGAAGCACAGGAAATTCAAATCCCGGCTTCATTTGCAATTTCAAAGTGCTTAATTTACATCCCTCTGTCGAAAGAGTGAATGGAGCTCCTTAACATGAATGGAAGGAGGGGTTCTTCTTAAGACCTGACCTGACCTAAGCCAGTTCTTACTTTTTCTTTTTTTGCCAATTTGATTCAAAGCTCCTATTCTAAGAAGTTTGGAGATGAGGAATTCCCATTTCATAAGCAGGCCTTGAGTTCCCTGTTAATGAGTAATCCTTATGTTAGCCATAATAAGAGAATATGTGCAAGAGGGCAGTATTCCACCCAATCAGAAGGATCTGTTTTGTTTTTCTTTGGCCCTTGAGCTATGCTTTCTGTGCACAGTCACATTATCCAAGCAGATCTTCAAGTCAGTGATATGCTGGCGGTTCTACTTGGTAATTGAAATAGTGCATGTATTTATTTGCAAATAAATCAAAAATAAATTGGATAAATGTGGTAGAATGGCAATAGGGGATATAGTATAGATTGTTTCTTTGCATTGATATAGAATGGTTTGAATAGGTGGGATTTAGAGGAACACTCAGTGTGTGAAAGGAGAAGGCTATCAACAGGGAACATTCAGTATTAGAGGCACTTTGTAGAACAAAACTGTTTAGATAAATAAGGATTAAAGGGAAGAGAGAAAAGCCTCAAAAATAGTAAGTAGCTTAGGTTAGTGATAATTTAACTGATCACTTTTGCATTCTGTTTCTCCCTTTCCAGGTTACTTCTCTGGGATTGTGATGATCGGAGCTATAGTTACTACATTGAGGTTTCCACTAATCAGCAGCAATGGACCATGGTGGCTGATAGAACAAAAGTTTCCTGCAAGTGAGTGTAATTTTTTTCCATTTATTTGCCTACAAGAGAAACTAAGCAAACTATTCTTCCATTGAGCTGGAAGATTTACCTCTCCCTAACACTGGTTGGAATTATACCATTATAACTTGCAAATAACTGAGACTAGAACTCTGCAATTGGGATTTGGGGAGTGGAGACTTCAAGTGCAGCTCAAGAATCATTTTCAAGCAAAAACCAATTTCTGAGGATGCTGCCGATCGAACCAGTTTCACATTTTTCCAGACTAGTTTGTTAATCTAATATTTATAAGCAAAGAACAACAGTTTAGCTATGGTTAAGATTGCAGTGGGGCACACCCCATGCACCCAAGATTTGACAAGTATGGTATCACAGGCTGTCCCAGGCTGCCTGTCTTCCTACTAATCTGTCCCTTCAGTTTGGGGCATGGCATTTAGAGTCCAGTCAGTCAGTCAATTAGCAAGAGACCAAAAGTGGCTGGGCGCTACAGTGCCTCAAAGGGAGCAGTGGCTGGAGAAGGCACTATTTATGAGCCTTACCTGCTCTGTGTCCCCTTACACACAGTCATTTGTCTGCTTCCCAGAGGAGTCATCTCTCCTGCAGCCATTTCAATGGACTTCTCAGCTCCTTATAACCCGCTTCTCCAGAAGGAGCATGTGCAATACGCCAGGAAGGATAGGTCTCCTTGGGCCCAGTATTTCTTTTTAACCCCTTTAGGTGAAGTTTGTGTGTCCCATTACATCCAGCCATAAAATGGATACACAAAAGAGGTTACAATAAAAAGTAAAGTCTGAACCAAAACGGGCGCCGAGCAGTGTTTCTTGATGGCAAGCCATGCTCCTGCTCCAATGGTAGGACCTGTGTCATCAGCACTGCAATCTGCCCTTGGCCCTGGGGCCAGCAGCCAGCAACCTGAGACTTTGAAACATGGGGTGGTCACATAGCCACCCCACCCCACTTGTGACTGGCTTCGAGCTACTCTCAATCAGGGACCACCTTGAGAAGGTCATCACCACTCTCCCAGCAGTTTTTTACTCATTAAGGCGGTGGACAAAGAGTGAGAATATCTCAGAAGGCATCTTGTTCAACAACCCCACTTCCTTTTTCAGGCTGATGTTAGACACCTCAGACCTCAGCTGAGTGTGCACCTCAGAGGTCTCAAGAGCAAGGGATGTGGTGCTGGAGGAGATGACATTACACCAAATGGTGGGCAGGCGGAGTCTTCCTATCTCAGCATTTGGGCAAGGTGGTGAGAGTTCTGATAGACACTAAGGCCTCAACGTTCTATGTCAATAGGCAAGGAATAGTATGCTCATCAGCCCAGTGCCAAGAGGCTTTCTGCCTCTGGGATTTTTGCATTGGCCACGATATCCACCTGGAAGCCTGTCACCTTTCTGGTATCAGGATTGCCCTGGGAGATCATCTCAGGAAGGACTTCTCACCACAAGTGGTTGCTCCACCCTGAGGTGGCCTGCATACTCTTCCAGAGGTGGGAATCTTCCCAACTGAATCTGTTCACCATCAGGCAAAATGAAAAGTGCCATTGATTTTTCTCTTACCGGGGGCTGGACAAGGGCTCCCTCACTGATGCCTTCCTCCTATCGTAGGCCATGGATCTGATGTACATGTTTCCTCTAATCCCTCTCGTCAGACAAGTAACTGATTTTTCAGTGTGGCTCCCCACCTCTGCAATAAATAAAGAAAACACAGGCACTTTCTGTGTTGGACATAAATTAATATTTTACTGTATTTAGAATGAAGTTTGATAAACTAACACGAGAAAGTTAAAACGCTTAATCTGTTTAATAATTTAAATTCATATTTCCTTTCTTACTGGTTAAATTAAACCATTCTCCCTCACTGCAGCACTAGCAAAATGGCTAGCGCATAATTATGTAATTAACAGCAAGTTTCCATTAGCAACTGGTGGTCCATGGAAAGGTTTGTATTGAGCCAGGTGGGCCACGGGCCAAAAAGTTTGAGAACCCCTGTGCCACAGCAAATTTGCCATCAAATTAAAATTTGGTGGATTCACCTTGGTTCACATATTTTCTGTTATAGGTAAAAATGATATTCTTAGACTGAGCACATAAATAGCAATATAGTGGGCAAAGGATGGGTTCCAGTGTGTGTTAATTCCTGTAAAAGGAGTGAAGTGAAGTGGGACAATCCAGTGGGAAAAATTGCCCCAAAGGGTGATTTTTAAACTGTTTTTATTCTTTGTGTATTAAGGATGTTAAATAACAGTTAATTTACTAGTCAAGTAGTCGATGGAATTTCCATTAACTACTCAACTAGTCGATAGGTACTTCCGCATTCCTCCTTTGAAATGTACAACAGCCCCCTCTGGAGGAATGAGGAACTGGCCCCACGGCCTGCCAGTGGGGGCTCTTGTGCATTTCAAAGTGGAAGCACCCGCATGGAGTCTGGGGTCACTGGGGGACATTGAGTCCCCCACTGACTCTGAGCTCCATTCAGCACTGCTGGTTTGAAATGCCACACAGAGCCGGGGTCAGCTCGGGACTTCCCTGCTGACCCTGGGCTCTGTGCACTTTGAAATGCCGCGCACGGAGCCCCGGATCAGCTGGAGATTCCCCAGCTGACTCTGGGTTCCGTGGAAATGACACATGGAGCCCGGAATCGGCTGGGGAGTCCCCAGCTGATCCCAGGTTCTGTGGAAATGCTGTGGAGGACTCCACTCAGCATTTCAAAGCAGCAGCGCCACATGGAGCCTGGGATCAGCTGGGGACTCCCTAGCTGACTCCGGGTTCCACAGAAATGCTGCAGGAAGCCCTAGGTCAGCTAGGGGAGTCCCCAGGTGACCTCAGGCTCCGTGCAGCACTGACACTTTGAAGTACCTCCTCCTCACTCCCCCTTTGCTGCTCCTCACTGATAGAGGCATCAAGGTGGTGGAAATCGACTAGTCAACTGAACTGTCTGATAAGCATTTACTTATCGGATAGCTGACTAGTCCTTAACATCCTTATTGTGTATCAATTCATTGTTCATCAAACCACCATCAAAATTCAAATAGTGCTTCAAGTTTACATTTTATTCAGGTTTTTCCTGTTTCACTGCAATTTTTACAAAATAAAGATTGAAAATTCTTATTAAATCCGAACTCTGTAGCACAACTTTAGCTATAATGTAGCTATTATTTTATTAAAATTACATTTTAAAATTACATTGAAAGAATGATAAGGTTGAAAGGTCAAACTCTTGCAATCATAATTTGACGTCCTTATGCACGTGCATTATGATAGTTTTTAATTACGTGATCACATACTATTTTTCCACTTATATTATTTCTTAACCATTCAAGTCTGTCACTCTCCTAGGCCTGTGTCCTGCCTCTTTCTCCTCATCTCAGTTTTTGCACCTTGGACCCAGCCACTCCCAGTCAGTCTCATCCAATCTCCCTACTTCTTCATCTGATTTCAGTTTCCTTTCTCCCCCCACCTATAACTCCGAGATCTCTATTGGGTGTTAGTCCCAATCTCCTTGCCTAGCCAGTCTCCATTCAGCTTTTACCACTTTCCCTGTCCCCCGCTCTGTTCCTTCCCCAGGTGCCTCACCCCAGTCTGCTCCCTCTGACACCAACCTGTTCCTCAGATGTAGGGTTTCCAACCTTTCAGGATTCTCCTGGAGACACTAGGAATTAAAGATTATGATTAATCAGATTATGTCAGGTGATGAAATCTCCAGGAACACAGTTCTTGACTACATGCAGTCAAGAGCTCTACTTCTGGAAGATCGCTTTGGGTCAATTACAGCCCTGATGAGGTCTCTCCAGGCTCATCCAGTCACAACTGCATGAAATGTCTGAGCCTTCTGGACCATATGGCTTTATGCATATGTATAGTGCAACACAGAAGGCTACATTTCAGACCTCTCCAAGCCTGGTTGGCCACGGTATATTCTCGCTTCTGTCCTCACCTGTACTTAGTGCTCACTGTTCCCACCCAGGTCCTTGATTTGCTGACATGGTGGCTGAACCACTATGTGACATGTGCACAGTACCCTTTTTGTGGCCTCAGCCAAATACATTGCTAGTACCTGACACATCAGCCCTACACTGGGGATCCCTCCTAGGGTCCCTCAGAACTCTGGGTCTCTGGTCTCAAGAAGAGCTTTCCCTCCATATCAATGCCTGGGAACTCAGGGTGATTTTCCTCTCCTGTCAGGTGTTCTTATCTCACATAATTAACAAGATTGTGTCAGTTCATACAGACAACATAACAGCCATGTTTTACATCACAGACAGGTGGAACATGCTCTCCCTGCTCCCCATGTTAGGAAGCATCGGCTGTGGGAGCTCTGCATTGCGCACTCAATAGGTCTAGAATCCTATTTTCCAGCAATGCAGAACCATCTGGCAGAACACTTCAGCAGGTCTTTCTCCTTTTACCAGGAGTGGTCCCTTCAACCATACATCAGGAGGGACATCTTCTAGCAATGGTGGACTCTCCTTACAGATTTGTTACCTAAAACAATAGGGCATGTTACCACTTTTGTTCCCTGCAAGATCTCAGCTTGGGGGAGGAATAACGGTCGTTTGAATTAGGAGCTTTAATTCGAACTACCTAGTCTGTGCCGCGTGTAGCCGCGGGCAGGTAGTTCGAACTACGGGCATTTAAAAATGGCGCCCGCCCGGGAACATGCAAATGAAGCCCGGGATAGTTAAATACCAGGCTTCGTTTGCAAGTTCGAATGCCTACATCAGTCACATCAGCCAAGTTCGAACTAGGGTAGCAGTGTAGACATACCCGTACAGACATGTTCCTGTTGTCATGGACACAGCATCTGTATTGTGGATTCCCTCCTACTCTGCTGACACAAGTTTCTGATAAAGATTAAACAGGAATGAGTGCTGGTCATTCTCATAGCCCTAGCATGGTCCAGAAAACATTGATTCACCACCCTCTTAGGATTTTCAGTGGAGGATTGCTTCCTCTGCACCCAGATCTGATCCTCCAAGACCACAGTTGGCTGCTTCATCCAAACCTCAGCTC